GGGACACACTGTTTCACAATGGTTCTTCTATTGCCTGAAAAAGTTCCAGTTAGCATTGGTGAGATGAAGTGGTCATGCTCTAAGGTCATGGTATATGCCGCATGACTCAAAACACTTGCCCCTCTTGATATCTATGTACCACATAGGAAGTCACTGGGAGAGGTAATTCATTAGCACAGGGGCATCTGTATACAGGGTCAAAGAGCAGATGTGATAGAGATCCTATTCCAGCACCCGAAGGCTGTTGGGGCTGCTGGGGGGAGATGGAGAGTAATTGGTTCAGATTCAATCTCAGCACGATGAAGACTGCAGGTATGGGAAGCCATGTGACTCCAGCTACCAGTCATCTTTGGTTGTATTTGGGTTTGTGTTGACCTGTACAGAACTGGTTGATAATTTGAACCTCCTTTGTTTGTTCTGGTTGTTTGAGTCCTATTGGACTGGAATGGCATTTAAATCCTGGTGGGTGGGTAGGTGGGTGAGTGAGTGAATTATTAGAGAGTCCATTTGCTCTAGTAGTTAAGGTCTCAGAATAAAACCCAGGAGACTTGTGATTTCTACTCCTGCCTTAGGCATCAAAGATGTCTGAATGACTTCGGTCCAGTCACTGTCTCAGCCCAACTCATCGCACAGGACTGTAGTGGGGGAAATGGAGGAGGAAGGAGCTTAGATATATTCACCACCAAGAAAGGCAGGATTAAAAAAAAAATGAACTGGAGAACAGGCACAACACCCTTTTTAGATGCATGGCTTGCAATAGGCAATGTTGAAAATAAATTTTATACTTTACCTGAATTTTATCTGTAATAATAATAGATGGATAGAAACTAATCAAGGAGAGAAGCAACCTAGAACTAAGGAGAAACTTCCTGACAGAACAATTAACCAGTGGAACAACCTGCCTCCAGAAGAGGTGAATGCTCCAACACTGGAAGTTTTAAAGAAGAGACTGGACAGCCATTTGTCCGAAATGGTATAGGGTTTCCTGCCTGAGCAGGGGGGTGGACTAGATGACCTCCAAGGTCCCTTCAAACTTTATTATTATTATTTTTATATTATTATTATTATTATTATTATTGTTGTTGTTGTTGTGATTGTGGGTTCCCTCAGAGAAAATGGTTAAGTCTTCCTGTTGTTTTTGGCTGTTATCCAAGGCAAATGTAAATCTCTGTGTTTGAATCTCTAAGGAAAATAATATCCCTTCATTCAAAGAGATAGATTTATTAGTCCTTTGACCTCTCTGCTATCCAGTGAAGCCACTGTCTCTTTAAAGGCAGTTGTAAAAAGAAGCCAGAAAAAAAGATAACGAGAGTCAACACCACCATTAAAAAAATATCCCTCTTTATTTGCAAATATACTGCATAATTACAGTTTTATACATTTTTAGTACTTCATATAATTAGTATAAATAATAATGTACTACATATGTTTCTACCTGTGCACAAAGACACAATACTTGGTTCCTTTGGTTTGTTTGCTATAAAACATCATCTGAAAAATGATAGCATATAATCCTAGAAATTTATGGTATAATTCATTTGTTTTGTCCTAGCATCATTCATTCATTTACATGAGGATTCTGTGGGATAATTTATTCATCAGATTATAGGCAGAGATCGCCTTAAAATCTGAAGAGATTACTCAAATGAAAACTATTCCTCTTCTTTCCTCTTCTTTCACTACTACTTACTTGTGGCAGATGCCCATTGCTTTGAAATGGTCAACTGATTAATCAGTAAAGTTATACTTAAGTTTCTGCTTCTTCTTATTCGTATTTGTATTCTGTGCCAAAGAACAAAATACCAAGCAAAAAAGATTTAAAGTTTGTACTTGGAGAAATACTAGATTTTGTTTTATTGTGGGAAACGATAATCCTACAGGTAGTCCTTGACTTGTACGTCCTATTTGCTTTGCGACCGTTCAAAGCTATAGCAGCATTGAAAAAAAAAACTTACAACCAGTCCTCACACTTACAACCATCTTCATGGTCATGTGATCAAAACACAGGCAACCGGCATGTATTTATAATGGTTGCTCCATCCCAGGCTTTTGTGATTGCCACTTGTGACCTTCCCAAACAGCTTCCGACAAGCAAACTCAATAAGGGGAAGCTTGATTTGTGGCAAAAAGGTCATAAAATGAGGTGTGACTCATTTAACAACCACCTTGCTTAGCAATGGAAATTCTGGTTCCCATTGTGATCATAAGTCAAGGACCATCTGCATTTACCTGAATTGGATAGGAGGTGCCTATGAACTCAGGAAACCTGGACAAAAGTTTTAGATTTTAGCCATTCTTGGGGTGAACCCTTCCACATAATTACCAGTTTTGAATAACAACAATAATATTTACAGAGCAGTCCTACAAAAGGAAAAGCTTGTAACAGAGGTACTGTGTTCTCCAAGCATTATTGATGTCCTTCCAATCAAAGTGCAAAGTGGAAAGGGGATACCATTTAGTATCCTTTTTGACTTTTAAAAATGTGGTCTCCTGAAAGAAAGAACTGGTGTCTGATTTTAGGGCATGCCAATGAGCTGAAAAAGTTTGTCAGGATTTCGTACACTCCATGCCTTATCAGTTTGTACTACTGTATTAATTAAGATATCCTTCCAACAACGCATCTAAACCATAGAGCTTTCTGTAAATACACAGGGCTTCTCCATTGGCAGAAATGTTGAGGGGGTTCCTTCTCTTTTGGGGAAGCAAAATTATTTCCAATTATTTTCAATGGCATTTGACCTTAGCATTGCACAGCATCCTTGAGGCAGTGGTTTTAAAAAGCGTTTTCTACCCCAATCACCGTTTTATTGCAAATATGTTAAGCTACAGCTTAAAAAAGAGAGAACAAAAATATACCTGCGATTGTCTCATTACAGTGTTACAAAATAGTTGATTAAATTGGCATTAATAAAATAGCAATGGCATGATTTAAACAGAGCATATGGTTAACTGCAATGGCAACCAAGAAGGCTTGATTTCATATACATATAAAGTTTCCATTCTAGTTCGGGCTTTATATCATCTTCCCATTAATTTTCCATTAAAATTCCAGACGTCTAATTCAATTGGTTCATTATTGTACTGTTGAACTCTTCCTTACAACAGACTTGCCAGTAGGAACCAGTGGAGCCTCTCTGTCCACCAGTTAAAGACTTTCCTTCATCAGATGCCACTAGCAGGAGACACAATGATTAAGGCACCAGAGGCAACTGGGAGGGACCCATCTTGCTGCACTATTACAAGAGGAAACACTGAATTAATCACAGACTGACCAATTTGTAAGTTATAAGGTTTGAAAATACCACTTCAGACTATCCACACTGAGGATATTTTGCAGGCATAAGTTTAGATCTTACTTTGTGTCTGGTTCTATGTTCAGGTGCATTCAGCTAAAATAATCTCTCTGGTGAAGAAGGAAGAGTCAAATTCAAACAGAAGAAAAAGCGTTGAACAATAAAATATTTATATAACTTTATACATTATCAGTGCATGTTTAAAATAGAGTACAACTTTAACAGTGCAATCTACAAACCGTTTCAGCCACAGTACTGTAGCCAATATCCAGGTTTCTTTACCTGGACAGTTACACTGATGCACTTGGAGCAATCCTGCCTCTTTCAGAACATTTGCTATTGCAGATGTGAGATCATCCCTGTTGTGCCGATGTTAATCTATTGCAGGGGTCTTCAAACTTGGCCTTTTTATGACTTGTGGACTTCAACTCCCAGAATTCCTCAGCCAGGCATGCTGGCTGAGGAATCCTGGGGGTTGAACTCCACAAGTCATAAAAGGGCGACGTTTGAAGACCCCTGATCTATTGCATGATGTAGACAACCTTGACTATGACACAGCTGACCCCTCCCCCATGGTCACATGATTGTATTTTCTTTCTAGCAGAGCAGTTTTAATGGTTTCCACATAAAAGAATGTATTCTTTTCTAGAGAAAACACTCAAATATATGCAATTTTCAGTGGGATATTCTAGTTACAAAAACTTCCTCTGGGTGTTAATCACTCAGGCTATGTTGAAAGATGCCCCCACTTTTCTGTTGCTATTAGTTCTCATTCAGTTTGATGAAAACCAATTTTTTTCTTCCAAGGGAAAAAGAATTTCCAATGAGATTCTTATAAGTAAATTCTTGTAAAATTCATGTGTCTGTTCCCACAAGAAAGAGTAATAGTCATTCACTTGGATGTCTTTGAAGGAGGATTAGATAAGCTCATGGAGGACAGGACCATTCATGATGAAGATGCAACATTATCTCTGGCTTGAGGCAGTGGTGGGATTCAGCTGGTTCGCACCACTTCGGCAGAACCGGTAGCTAATTTTTTGTTGCCCAGGCCCAGAAAGGGCTTCCGGAAGTGGCATCCACACAGAGAACCGGTTGTTCACATATTTGAATCCCACCACTGGCTTGACGCCAGTATCTCTGCAGGGGAAGATTGGTTAGAAGAGGCATTTTTCTGTCTCTTCTTTGTGGGCACCTGACAGGCAACTGATTGGCCATTGTAAGAGGGTTCTGGACTAAGATAACTTTGGCCTGTTCTTCTGGTGGGTGTCCCACTGTACAGTTAGCTCTCCAGTTCCTGATTCCTACACTTTCTTTAAACGCAAAGGAAAGGCACTGTGTTAATCCTCCTGTAGGGCTTCTTCAGACTGGGAAGTGTGGGCAGGTAATAAAAGTAAGCTCAAAAATACCCCAATAAATTTCCCAAAAAATTCCTCAGCACCCTGAGAGGTAAAAAAAAGCCGGAACTCTGTTTGATACAGGAAGAAACTGCAAGACAAGACTTTAATATAGCATCATTAATAATCTACCTTGCCTCATTGTTTGGACCATAATGTTTAGGGAAAGAAATGTAATAACCTTCCTGACCACATGATCTTACTGTCCACTGATTTTTCTACTGCTAAGCTGAGGTGCGTGCAAATAAGCTGGCTTAAGTGACCTGTGGATCACAACCCAACCCCTTTTCAGTCTTTCCAAAGCAGAGGTCCTTTTTTTAATGATTGCCTTCTTCAGGTGTTCTGGTGTCTTTTGGTATAGTCCTCTGTTTATAGTCCTCTCCAGATCCAATGTCTACATCCTGGTAGTTAGCAAATTCCTGAGGTAGTGGAAACTCCTCTGCTGATGAATGAGTCCTGTGTCCAAAGATCCTCTCTTGTAGCTCAGCAATATCATTCCTGATATCTGCCATCATCAACAGCAAGAAGTCAAAGGAACCTGGTGGCCCCTAAAAAAGTTCCAAAGGAGAGAGTGACATTACTTGTCTTTCACTGAACTGGGCACTACATCCATTTAACTCAGGGGTAGTCAACCTTGGCTCTTTTATGACTCGTGGACTTCAACTCCCAGAATTCCTGAGCCAGCTGTGCTGGCTCAGGAATTCTGGGGGTTGAAGTCCACGAGTCATAAAAGAGCCAAGGTTGACTACCCCTAATTTTTAACTGGATATTTTTAGATAGGTTGGCTTCTATTCCAGTTATGCCCAGCCATAAACTAGGCCCCAGGCATTTGACCGCCATGACTAGCAGCAGAAACAAAGCAATTTTTAGAGACCGTCTTATTTCGTCTTAACTATGCTGGCATAAAAAGCAATTTCTCAAACACTCATCTTAACTAGGGTCAATTTAATCCAGTTGCTTTTCTTTATTAATGAAATTTATATAGCCTCCCACCTTACCAAACGTTACTCTGGCTGGCACACAACAGTCTCTGCTCTGTTTTCCCCAACATTAATATATTATTATTTTTTAATCGTTTAGATATTCATAGTTTAACTTTCACTTGGTACAGTACCTCTGAGCATCACTGAAACCATCTCACCATACGGATTTATTTTTACAACTGACTAACTTCAAAAAAGATGATTTAGATCAGATGTAGATCGATCTATACAACATCCAAGGAAGGACTCCAGTGCTGTCAATTATCATAAAGGTCAATATATTGGTTGCAAACATGGCCACTGTAGACCCCGTGCATGCACGTTTCAATCCACAAATCTTACTATTAATTGCATAGGCTGAAAATTGCAAATGCAAATCAACTACTAAAAAGCAAACCCTCTCAAATAGAAAAGAGTCTTGATAACATTCTGTTAGTCTGATTTCTTGTTTTTGGAGAAGAAGAACGAATAATAATCCATTTTCAAAATTCCTGGGGAAAAGAACAGATATTGCTCACAGATGGATCTACAACTTCAGGCTGTACAATTTTCTAATAATCTCAATCTGTCCATAACTGATAACTACTTCATTAGGACATATGAAGCTTGTTGGAATCCTTTCAACTTTGCAGGATATTTTGATATCTATATTTGTTAATGAGTTGAATTGAGCCGGACATGCTGTGCAGGTCCTAAGTTGGCGTTTGGAGGGTAACAAGGACTGGTAAGGGAGAAATAAGCTTAAACTAAACCCTTTTAAGATGAAGCTGCTGTTTGTTCATAAACCTCTTGGTTAGCCTGAAAGATAGGTTGCAATTGTGCCTCTAGGTGGAGCCATGTTTCTGAAGGAGCAGGTCCATAACTTGGGGGGGGGGTGTGTCCTGGCCAACTTTTTCTCTTCCTCCAAATCTCAGTAGAAAATTGATAATCCAAGAAACCAACCTAAAACCTCATATTAATGAGGTGCTGTAGAAAGGAGGATTAGGTAACAAGAATTCCAGCAACTGACCTACTTTCAGATTAAGTCTGTTTATATTCTCTATGGCCAGCGGCAAGATGTTTTATCTTTTTTATTTAAGTGCTCTTGTGATGTGATGCAGAGGATGTGACAAGCAAAAAAAAAAAAAAAAGCTTTGTTCTCCCTTAAAAAAAGGGACAACTGCCTCTGCTCATAGTTTTGATAATTCCCTTTTCGGCCTGCAAAATTCTTTTGGGTTCAAGGTTTCTGCTTAAACAGACTGGTGACCACAAGTGAGGAGGGCCTTTGCCTAGTTTCAGCTGGTGCACAGTTTATGGCTTTACTGCAGGGGTGTCAAACTGCCGGCCCGCGGGCCGGTTTCATCATACCGGAGCCGCGCCCACCCGATTGCCGGCAATGGCGAAAAAGCTCTGATACGTCGTGCGACGTCACGTGACGTCGCGAGTTTGACATGCCTGCTTTACTGGGAGGCATCAGCAAAGTGACTTCTGTCCTTAGCACCACAACTTAGTATTTCTGCTGCTGCTGATGGCCCTGTACCAGAAGCTGCTGATGGCCCTGTACCAGAAGCTACAGGTGGTACAAAATGTGGTTATCGGGCTGTTGGATAACAGCTATTTTAGAGTTGCCAATGGGTTTCTGGGCTCAGTTCAAAATGCTGGTCAATTCAAAATATGGCACAGTGCCAGGTTACTTCATGGACCATCTCTGATTCTGCCCATTTTGTCAGATCACTGAAGAGGTGACCTGTTCAGTTTCCTGCCCCCGTGTGAAATGAGGGGAGCATTGGCTACAATGCAGGTCTGCTTCAAGATGACCTTAACATTGTAGAATATGCTACCCCTGAAAATAGCTTGATCTTCGCATGGCTGATTTTTAGAAAGTTTTTTTAAAAGATTTCATTGTTAAATAGGCTCTTTGATGATTTTGATGCCTCATGGAGAATGAATATTGCTCTATTGTGAAGATTGCTCATACTGAGTGGTAAACACATTTAATTAATTAATAAATCTATACTTCAAGTAGCACATCGTTTATCTTTATCTGTAAAGAATTATTACGAAAACCTAATGGTGAGTCAAATTCAGACATCTTTTGGAAAAAAGTATAAGTAGTTTTAAATCAGCCTATGGGAGCCTTGATATTTTACCATTTTTCATACTGTCGATAATATAAATTTCTTCATACTGGGAAGACTCAGTAGCTTATTTGATTGATTATCCATGCAGAAAGAAAAGGCTTTAATTCATTTTCCATTAAATTCTTATCCTTTTTGTAAAGCTTTGAGTAACATTTTTGAAATTTTAAACACTGCATATCTTTCTGGGCATTACACAGTTGTGCCAAATCATTAAATAATATTATAACTTTTTACAGCTTTAGATATGCCATAAGTTTATCAAATTGTTTTCCGAATTCCTTTGCTGTAAGCATGTTAATGCAAAGTTCCTTTAACAGAGACCAATTTAATACATATTCAGCACTTTGCAAGTTCTTGTAAGATGGGTAAGTAGGAAATTAAAGCAATCAAAAACTAACCATCCTGTCTATCATTTTTTCCCTTGCAATACCCTTTTTTCCCCTTTAAGAGAAAGGAAATAATAATCTTCCTGCATCCCACTCAGTGACTCGAGGATGCGGAATTCTCATTCATATTTTTTAAAAATAGAAGCCTGCTAGCCATTTGCTTTTTAAAATTCTTGACATTTATCCAGGAGATATCCAAACTCCAAATGTTCTTTATTTTAAAGGAATTTCCCACTTGCAAAGAAACCACAACTGAGGAGCACTTATATACAGTTTAACATATTTGACAGTCTATTACATTCTGAAATAAAATTGAAGAAATTTTACAGAAATCCAACCAAAGCAATTTTCTTGTACAGAAGATATAAAGGCATAATGTATTTCACTTGTAAGTAATAGTGTCTACTCAACAGTTCCAACAACCGTATACATATAAAGCAACCTTAGTGCTAACTGGCCAAAAACTATAGAGACCCTAACATTGAATCAAGGCTTTCATCCTCTCCAGTGATCAAAATGTTGTAAATGATAAGGGCAAGACTACTTTAAAAATATGAAATGTAGATACACTGGGATTGTAAACATTATTTATGCATATGAGTGAAAGGTGCTATATACATAGCTTTCTTCTCCTATTTTCCCCACAGCAACAATTCTGTGAGGTTGGTTGAAGTGCAAGAGCAATAGAAACAGCACTTAGACTTATATACCCCTCCATAGTGCTTTATGTAAGCCCTCTCTAAGTGGCTTACAAAGTCAGCATATTGCCCCCAATATTGCCCTCATTTTACTGACCTTGGAAGGATGGAAGGCTGAGTCAACCTTCAGCCAGTCATGATCAAAGGAATCGAACTCATGGTAGTGTGAGCAGAGTTAGCCTGCAACACTGCATTCTAACCATTGTGCCAAGAGAAAGATTTGCCTAAAGCCATCGTGTACACTTCTGCAACTAAGAGTGGACTACAACCTAGTCTTTTCCATTTAATCACCCTAATCACTGAACTATAGTGGCTGTCTTGCTAGTTACTCAAAGAAATGCATCCGCCCCCCTCCCAAAGATTTAATAAGGTAACCACAATAAGAGGATATCATCTTTGGAGCATCATCCCCATAGATTTTCCCTAATCCAACTTGTGTTCTGGAAAGTGCTAAAAACATGGTTTTACCATCATGCTGGGGATCTGGCTGTGATATGACACTTGCGTGATTGTGGTACTATTTGCAATGTATGGATGGGTACATTGATTATAAATGCCTTGGATAATTTTTTATGGTTTTTAATTTGGTTTTAATATAGTTTTATGGTTATTTATATTTTGTTATTATGTTTTATTGTGGTTTTAATTTTGAGAGCCATCCAGAGTCATGTATGTCAGATGAGCAGCTGTATAAATTGAATGAATGAACAGCCTTCTATATCTGCTTTATTATAAATGGATTATTTTTTAAAATGAAGAACATTTGGTGTTCAGATACAGGACTTCCTGGCTGATGTATAAACAGATATTTGCATTGAGATTAGACTTGGATGTGATACTTACGGGTGGACCCTTTTCTCCTGGTGCACCTCTCTCACCCTGTAACAAACATAATTTTGGTTAAGTGGTAAAACTGAACCAGATCTTGTTGATCTAAAATCAAAACTCCAAACAGTTGTCTTTACACACTTAGAACTGCCCTACTGTAAGATCCTATGCATGTCAATTTAGAAGAGTGGGATTAAGTTTTAGTAACATGTATACAAGATTGCAGCCTTTAGTTTAGTTTCTCTTAACCAGATGAAGGAATTACTTTTATAGCAAAATTTATATTTGATTACTTATCAAAGATAATGCCTGCAGCACTTTCTAAGTATGTACCATGAGAACAAAACTTTATTCATTAGATTCACAATCATTCATATCCAAAGGATACCCACTGAAATTGAAGGGATTTATTACTCATGAACTTAATTTTCTATAGATTGCAGTGGATGTATTCTAAGCATACCAAAGTTGTGATCCGAGGCAATAAAAACTTAAACTTCTTACATACTCTTAATTTTATTTATCACTAAGCATAACATGAACAACTACAATATCAATTCTGAAATCATTCAGATCAACAAGTTGCATCCTACAATAAGAAGCTCCCTTCAAAACGTAAAAATTATTACACATTTATTTATTCACTTTGTGGAACTGCTTAACTGAAATGACTCAAGGTAGTGTGCAGTGGATTAAAGCATCATTAAAGAAGGCAAAAAAATACAGGACAAATATAGTAATGACCGTATGTTGTGCAATACATAAACATTCAAGTTCTGAATGGTTTTCTGAAAGTCAGCAAAAGATATGCAACAGGAAATACATGATAAATCATAGGGACGACTGCATCAAAATACTTTTTTGATGCTTCAAATTGCTATTCCAGTGAAACTTTTCTGTAGGTCTGTGGGTTAATATCCATGTATGTTAATTCTAAGTTGATTACTGGGGCAAATATTGGAAAATAAAGAAACAGAAATGCTTGGGAAGTGGGAGTAGATAGAATCAAAATAGCCTACCTTTTCATTCACTTTCTGCCTTTCCACCTTCCAAAATTTAAGAAAACTGAATATGACCCTTTATATGAAAGAGAAGGACTCTCACAAGGAAGAAGAAAGGAGAAAAAGAAAGAAGAAGACAAGAAACTGTACTTCTGACCTTTGCTCCATCTCTTCCTGATGCCCCTGGAGGACCCTGGAAGGTAAAATTGCATTCCTCAAAAACTTGGCATCAAACATGATCAAGAGGTTATACACACACAGAAGAATGGAGACATGATACTGACCACGGGCCCTCTTCTGCCTTGTTTAATGTGAGAGAGGTCTGGAGACGGTCCCATCGGCCCCATGCCTCCTCTAGGGCCTGGCACCCCTGGAGGACCCTGGGATCCAGGGAATCCAGGGCTCCCTTTTGGACCTGCAACCCCTGGAATGGAAACGAGGCAGTGAAATTAATTCTGCGGGTAGTTTCATTGGACAATTTTGCATAAAAAAAGGATGTTTATGATTTTCCTGTCAAGAATTGGAAGTAGACTTTAGGGCTGTTGACAAGGTTTTTTAAAAAATTACAAATAAATCAACCAGAAGGGAGGAAAAAAACTAGCAAGTAAATAAAAAAAGGAGTTCAACAGCAATTAAAAGTATTCCAGAAGTGCTTTAAAAGCCAAGTGAAGGAAAACAGCTTTTTTCTTGGTGCCAGGAAAATCAGGACCTGTTTCAACTACTGTTATGTAACTTGATGAATTAAAAATCCTTATATTAAAAAGAAGTGAAATTCTAATAATGCATAACTCTGAGTAGCAATTATTTGTCCAGGATACTGTCAGACATCAGGCACAGAATGCTCACCACAGACCTATTTGTAAATAGAAGAAAAAGGCCAGTCTGGCTGTGAAAAGTCTTCCTTTAGACTAAAAAAAAAAAGGCAGGGAGGTGGCCCACAAAAGCATGTTTTGAATTCCCAGTGTGGAAAATGAACTTGGAGGCAAAATTGCTTACATGTTAACATCTTGCTTTCCAGATCAAAACCCACTAGCACGAACCAAGTGCTTTTTGCTTTGACACTGACAATAGTTGCCGTGTTCAAAATTGACATCGTTCACACCATTATATTGTGAGCTTAACATTCAAAGTTTGGTTGAGAGATAGCCTTATGTCTAAATAATTGCAAATATTAAATATTTAATTTTTTCCCTCTGAATGTACTTGTCACAATCTCCTTCAGGTCCTGCTGTGCTACCACATCGTGCTGCTTGGCTGGGAAGGATGAACAAAGAATGTTGGGAATGTATGCCAAGAGTGTATATTCACCCAACTGCCCAGCTAAAGCAAGCACAGTTAGTACTCGACTTATGGACCACAATAGGGACCAGAATTTCCATAGTAAGTTCTTGCAATTGTTAAGTCAAAATTAAGCATAAGGTATTAAGTATAAAGACAACCAAACTAATGACAACAGACAGAGCAACCAGCCTTGCAGCTGACAATGAAGATATTGAAGTGGTGAATAGCTTTTGCTTTTTAGAATCAACAATAAAGGAACAAGCAATCATGTAATGCAGAGGTCCCCAACCTTTTCGGCACCAGGGACCAATTCCATGGAAAAAGGTTTTTCCAAGGACCGGAGAGTGCATGGTTTTGAGTGCTGCCTGCATCCCATGGATGGGGCTTTGCTTGTTTCTGCGGACCGGTTGCTGACATGCTGTGGCCCGGTACCGGTCCATGGACCAGGGGTTGGGGACTCCTGATGTAATACACATTCAAACTAGCATTTTGTACAGCAGCCATGAAGGCTGTGGAACATTATTCTAATGGTGTGATGTGTCTGTTTTTGCAAAGATCAGGATCATGCAACCTGTGACGCTCTATGGAAGCAAAAGTTGGACTTTAAAAAAAGAGGACAGAAGACTCCTGAGTATACTCTGACAACCAAGAAAACAAACCAATGGATTATCCAACAAATCAGCCCAGAATTCTTACTCGAAGTACAAGCAACCAGGTTCAAATTGTCCTACTTTGGACACATTATGTGAGTACCTGAAAGACCAAGTTAAGGATAGATTGTCATTGAGCAAATCTTTCTATGTGAGCGCTGCGAGACAAAAATGATCGGATGGCACATAATCAACTTGTCATGGTACAGTGCAAAAACAAACAAGCAAACAAAAATAGCAGAATTTTGTTTTTGTAATTGTACTTATTTTAATGTGTTATTCATCTTTTAGTATTAATTGTTGTATGCTGTCCAAAGTCACTTTTTAAGAGATAGGTGGCTACAGAAATTTAATAAATAAAGAAAATATTAGTGTAATACAAAGAATAAACATGAGACAGTTATAGAATCAGCAATCCATAATATAATTCATTAGCAAAAGAATAGATTGCACATTATACCACAAAACACATGACATTAATAGGAACTGGGGTTGCATTTCCCAAATACCAGATTTGGGGTGGGCTATCTATTAAAAAATATAACCACTTATATGATAATGTAATGCTCACTTAAATACATTGCAATAAAAATGCAAGTATAAAAGTCTTCCAGGCTGAGATTTTCATGGCAAATTCCCAGTCCATTTCTAACTTCTGCCATTCCCAATCTTGAAGTTTACTAATCATGCAAAAATAGCACAACTTGGGAGTGGATAGTTTTCAGTTAGAAGAGAGAAGTGAAGTTTACAGCACCTTGGACAGCTCATAAGATGGGAGCAAGCCTGACTAAATGACCCTAACAATATCTTAAGAAAAATTAATGTCTGCTCCTGATCCAGGCTTCTTGTCTGAGGAGTGATACAGATGCAATATATACAAATTTATTTTTATGATATTTTTAAATGTAGGAACTATTTTATTGCCTTACCTGGAGGACCCTGATCCCCTGGCTGCCCAGGAGGGCCAGGTATGTAAGCATTGGATGCAAGTACTTTTTCTCCTGTGATTGGTTTGCTAAGGTCAACAGCATTATTTGGTAGCCAAGAAACCTGCAATAAAAGAAGTGTCATAGACTAGAAGCCACTTGCCTATTCAACTTCATTTAGCTGAGTGACTGACTTCATCAAGCAGTATAAGTTCTTTATCTCAATGCAGGACTCAGCTACCATGTCCCTAACTCTACACTTGGAAGCCTCAAAGTGATAGAGTGGATAGCATGCCAGGCTGCAACAGGAAGCACCATCTGCTTCCCAGCCTTCCTCCTTTTACTGAATAAAATGAGATAGCTTCCTTGTTTACTGTCTTGCATAACCTGAAGGAATCGTGTAAATGTAATAAAACAACAATTGATGGCCTACATTTACTATGTTCAGATTCAAATTGCAGCTGAGGACCAGAGTCAGAGTAGATTTGACTTCTGCCATGTAGCTTAGCATAGTGTAGCTCTTCCCCCAATCCCTACCCCCAAAACTCTACTATACAGGAGGCCTCAGCTAGACTACTACTTTGCTTTGAAACCAGAAACACTCTGGCACTTTTATGATCATACTCAGAACTGTGATCTATTGTTTGCAAAGGGGACAAAATGGTTGATGTCAAGTCTGACACACTGAAGGATTAAATTTATTGATGGATCCGAATAACAAAAAAGAAAGTAGGATTTAGAATGAAGGGCAAAATCCAATTCAGGTGCTGAACCGTAGTGGCTCAGTGGTTAGATGCAGTATTATAGGCTTATTCTACCAACTGCCAGCAGTTCGATTCTCACTGGTTCAAGGTTGACCAATCTTCTATCCTTCCGAGATTGATAAAATGAGGACCCAGTTTGTTGGGGGCAATATTCTGACTCTATAAACTGCTTAGAGAGGGCTGTAAAGCACTATGAAGCGGTATATAAGTCTAAGTGCTTTTGCTATTGCCTTGTACGCACACTGTGTATATAAACAGTTTGTTAGGATCTACAGCTGTGGTACTACCCAAGTCTCTCATCAGGGACTAAAAGCCTGCAAATATTCTGAAATACCACATCCACAGTTCTTTAACATTGGTCATATGGGCTGCAGCTGCTGAGATCTGAAGTTGAGGGCCTGCTTGCACTGGCCTGAACAGCTTTATGAAGGACTCATGATTGTACATGGAGATACCTCCATTCAAGACCTGTGCTCTATTGATAAGCTAGAGAAGGCTTTTCACTGCTAAAGTCATACTCCATACACTGAGAAAACCTTTTCTTTCTCAGATAGGTAGATGGGTTATTATAATTTTGTATTTAAGAAAGCATTAAACATATAAAAGACAAAGGCCGGCTTGCTATGGCAACCTGATTTTGTGGGTTGCCATAGATCATGTGAGTTGGCTCTCCCATTTGCCAGTATGCTCACTTGCCACTGTCTTCTGGAAGAACCACTGACCTCTTCTGGATTTCAACACTTGTCTGCTTTTGGTGTGGAGCCTTCTTATTGTCCTCACCAGATGCTAACACACACTGAACTCATTTCTATTTCATTCCACTGTCTTGATTCAGTCTTGGAATCGCAAGTTGAGAATGACCTCAGCCTTACTTCATGCACAAATCTTTCCCCACAAGAATGTAAATAGTTGTACAGAACCCTATTGAGAGGGGCAACAGTCACGGAGATGAATTTTAACCCTTAATGAAGCCTACATGTTATGTTGTAATTTTGAAGAGGTTCCATGCAAAAATAATTGCCGACTTGGCTTGGAGATGGACTGGCTAGGTCCAGTCTAGGACTTTCTTCTAATTAAATGCATACTTGCTTGTATCTGAGTAAGCACATATGCATACAGAATATTTGCACACATGGGATTGTTTGTATGCCTAGACTGTCTGTGATTTATTTCCTTTGGCAAAAGCATTCTGACTAGTTTTGCAATTCTGTCAAGGGGATAGAGTAGAAGATTAAACCAGAAGTTTCTGAAAAATATCTATGTCCAGGAAAGCTTTTCTGGCATGACTGCCCCAAATCCTAACCAATGCAGAGAATTCCAGAGGATAATTTAGGCTCAATTCATGCATGATATTCTTCAAGATGTTTGAATTTTGCCATCACATACTAAAAACTCAGATTGCAATTTGGAAGGCACGTCCAATCCTGGGTTTGGTAAAAGTGGTCCAGTTTATAACTGTCTGTCATTGCTGCCTTCCATGACTGGAATTTATAATAATCTTCAAGATATTACTATAAACCACCGGAACAATCATATCAACTAAGTGAGCCAATGTTTCATTTTACCACCCAAGGGATTGATAGCTGCAGTTTTTGGTCCCACCCAATAATGTCCTACCTAGAGGCAACATTGAAATACTGCTTTCACACATTTTCTGAGATCTGTCAAGCCTCTCATATTTTCCCCAGAATGCTCCACAACAAGCATCTTAGGAATGTGGGGGAAAGTAAAAAGAAGAGGTAAAGCTCTCAAACATTGTGAGTTCACTATCTGCAATTTGCTTTCCGTGTAACGTTATGTGGGAATGACCTTGGGAAACAGGAGGAAGAGCAACAGTCCAGACAATAGTCTGATAAATGGAATTTGGATCTGAAAGAGGAAGGGTGGCAAAAACATCTCTCAAAAGAGGTCCACCCTAATTTTGGGGAGAGTAAAAATAAGGTATGAGTCTTGCAAGATTCTGTTAATGTAATCTTAGTATAAAGATTGAGCTAGTAATCCTGGCTTACAGGTAGTCCTCGACTTACAACAGTTCATTTAGTGACTTTTCAAAGTTACAGTGACACTGAAAAAAGTGATTTATGACCGTTTTTCTCACATTTACGACCTTTGCGACATCCCCATGATCATGTGATTAAAATTCAGATGCTTGGCAACTGGTTCATACTAATGACCACTGCTGTGTCCCAAGGTCATGTGATCACCTTTTGCAACCTTTTGACAAGCAAAGCCAGATTCACCTAACAACTGTGTCACTAACTTATCAACTGCAGTGATTCACTTAACAACTGTGGCAGGAAAAGTTGCAAAATGGGGCAAAGCTCACTTAACAAATGTCTCACTTAATAGAAATATTGGGGTCAATTATGGTCGTTAAGTCGAGGATTACCTATACTTCTTGCCTGGTCTACCTTGCCAGGCTAACATTGCCACTTGTCCCTAAATGCTATGCTCAAGAGTTTTAATTTTCAGACTTTCAGCTTGTCCTTATGAGGTTCAAAGTAATATTTCCTTGCAAGAGATCAATGTCAATACATTTATTTTTGTATTTTTATCCCATGTTTCCTCTTGGGAGTTATGGCAACATAGGGGGTGGGGGTGGAAAGCTCCTCTAATATTCCCATAAGAATGATGTGTGATTTAATTCGGCTCAGAGAGAATGGCTGGCTTATAATCAGGAGATACTTGAATGTGTGCTGCCTCAGTCCAAGGAAGACCAACTCTCACTCTGTCCATTCCCTAGCAAAAATTCATTGCATCCTTCAGGCACCTCAAGTCCCATATGGATGTTCTTCATGGAAGAAAGGAGCAAGCTTCAGTGCAGAAATAGGTTTGCACATGGCCACTGTGCTTTTTCCCTGCAACAGCATGGGAAATGGTTCATTAAAAAAATCAATAATAAGAAATCAGTTTGACCTGGTGGGGCCCCATGACATGTTCCTTTCAATGTGGGAAGTATAAGCACACATTCAAGTAACTTTTTAAAAGCAGCCATTCCAATGGAAGAGATCTTTTAAATTGCCTAGTTCTAACCCAAATCAGTTCATGTAGGCCAGGGATGGCGAACCTGTTAGAGACCAAGTGCCCAAAACCCACCCTCACCTCCCTGCCCACCCCCGCTCTGTGTCCCGCCCACCCGCATGGCCATCCATCGCCTCCATGGCCCACCGCAGCAGATTGCCCAGGCAGCCCAGCAGTGCCATGGCAGCCACGCCCTCTGCCCATGCCCCGCAGCATTATCTGCATGTGACGGTGTGAGGGCAGAGTCTTGTCCCCGCTGCCTGGCTGCCATGTCCTTGGCTGTGCTGTTCTGTGCAGACTGTGCTCGGGGGCAACTCTCCTCTGGGGGGCTGCTGGTGAGGAGGAGGGGGCCACGGGAGGAGGCGGAGCTGGGGCGATGGTGTACGTGCCCACAGAGAGGGCTCTGAGTGCCACCTCTGGCACACGTGCCATAGGTTCGCCACCACTGGCGAACCTATGGCACCACCGCTTTCAGAACAGGGTTCTCCAACCTTGGCAACTTTAAGATTTGTGGACTTTAACTACCAGAATCTTTCTTCAAATTTGCTGTCTGGAGAATTCTGGAAGTTGAAGTCCGTAAGTCTTAAAAGTTGCCATGTTTGGTGACCCCTGTTTTAGAAAACCATCGTGTGAAATGGCAACGGATGACGTGCCTTCAAGAAAACACACTGAATCCCACAATCTATTCAAGAGATTGAATTCACCTGCCAATTTCTCCCCCTTTTTCAATACCCATGACTTCAATATTTCTTAAATGTACCTTTTGCTTCAGTTGCAGTACCGTCTGTTTGATCTGGTGGAATTCTCTGCAGGAGGCACAACAAGCCCCAGGTTTCACCACATTGTCCACCTTTTCAGAAAAGCCTGCTTTTTTAAAAAAAAAGGAGGGAAGGAGAATAAGGCCCACCATTTCAGTACAACCTCCTTGTTCTTTTCTGAATGAAACTAGGAAGAGGGCAGAAAAACGGCAAAGACTGCTGTGCGCGCAGAGGAACTTTCTAAAAGTCCCTTCCTGATCATTCCGTGAGAAGAAGAGGTGCCCCTCTGTACTAACAGCTTTTCCCATGAATCCTCACAGATGCCTGGAGAGCTGCAAAAAGTCCTAAGCAGCAGCTGTTTCCAGTTAGCAGCTCTTAATGTCTTTTAGAAAACTCCTTTTATATCTTAAGGGGCGGGAGGGAGGGTGTATTTCTCCACTTTTATCTAAGTCTTTACTGTACAGGAAATGTAAAAGACCCAGAGTGATTTATCAGCTCCCATTAAGGGCAAATTTCAGACACCATAAATTGTGACACAGTAACCTGTGCAAGGAGAATTGCCTGAAGTTTGCACAAATGCAAACCTTACTGTCACCAATGCGATTAGCTGTGCAAATGCGACCCCCGAGTAGACTCCCGAGTAGAGATAACAGGGCAACGGTTGAGAGTAAGAAGGGAATTCCACAATTGATCTGGCATTCCCAGTTATGTATTAAGTCCTTTCTAATTGGGGAAAAAAAATTAGGGTAAGCGCTTTCTGTTCTAAAAGAGCAGGTTTTTGTTCTGCCCCCTATCCTCATAACTTATGCATTTTCAGCAATAGTGTTAACACTGCTATCATGTCCCCCCCTCGTCCTTTAACAAAGAGAAGGACGAGGGGGGACAAGATAGCAGTGTTCCAGTATCTCAGGGCTGCCACAAAGAAGAGGGAGTCAAGCTATTTTCCAAAGCGCCTGAAGGCAGGACAAGAAGCAATGGATGGAAGCTAACCAAGGAGAGAAGCAACCTAGAACTGAAGAGAAACTTCCTGACAGTTAGAACAATTAACCAGTGGAACAACCTGCCTCCAGAAGCGGTGAATGCTCCAACACTGGAAGTTTTTAAGAAGAAACTGGACGGCCATTTGTCCGAAATGGTGTAGGGTTTCCTGCCTGAGCAGGGGGTTGGACTTGATGACCTCCATGGTCCCTTCCAACTTTTTTATTATTATTATTATTATTATTATTATTATTATTATTATTATTATTATTATTATTATTATTATTATTATTATTATTATTATTATTATTATTATTATTATTTACAATGTTGTTTAAGTGATTTGGCACAACTGTGCATTTCCCAGAAAGCTATATTTAAGATTTCAAAAGCTTTACCAAAAAAAAAAAAAAAAATTTAATGGAAAATAAATTAAAGCTTTTTATTTGGAGAATCAACAAAATAAGCTACTTCCCGAGTCTTCCCAGCATGAAGAAATTCATATTGTTGATAGTATGAAAAATGGTAAAATATCAAGGCTTCATGGTTTTTCTATAGACTGATATAAAAAAAGCTTAATTTTTTTCCCTGGCTTTTCTTAATAATTCTTACATGGCAATCTGTTACCAAACCAGATAAAGATAAAAGTTTTTGTCCCAAAAGATCAACTTTTTGTCCTGCCCCATCCCCCCCAGAACTTATGCATCTTCAGCAATTGTGCTAATTACTGTTCATATCTGCGTTCTGCTACAACTATATAACAATATAAAGTAAACATCTATGATGCATTAACTATTAAAAAGAAATACAGATGAATTGCTAAGGGAATCTGTCACATGTGAACTATTAACTATTGACAACATCTGCGTATTTTGCATCCAGTCGCAGAAAAGTGAATGTAAACCCCAAAAATGAACACGTCATTTACATATTTTGTTTTTTTTAAAAATCATGACATGGAATGGGACTAAAGGAAACCTTATCTCTAATGGTTTGAACTCTTGCTTCACTTCTTACCTTTTCCAGCTCAGAATTGCTTATATGCTTTAAAGTCAGTTTCCTTAAATTGAAGGGATTAGAAACTTGATTTTTACAAAAGATAAAAGCTGACATTTTACAGATGTTGAGTTCTGGCTCCATGATCAACGTATTTAAAATAATACTTTGTGAATGCAGTAATGGAAAATATATAGTCTTCCTATATAGGCTCATGCAGATAGATTGTTCAGTCAATTTCAGGTCAGCTGATCTCCTCAATAGCCTTGAGTTAAATGCATCTTAATCCCAACTAAGGGTAAGTACCTGGGAATCTGGAAGTTATACTGTGGTGGCACAGTGGTTAGAACAGAGTACTGCAGGCTAATTCACTGCTCACTGCCAGCAGTTTGATCCTCCCTGGCTCAAGGTTGACTCAACTTTCCATTCTTTTGAGGTCAGTAAAATGAGGACCCAGATTGTTGGGGGACACTTTAAAACACTCAGAGAGTGCTGTAAAGCACTATGGAGTTTAAGTGCTATTGCTATTGCTATAAGTCTAGCACATTTAGATGGTGCCAGTTGAAAAGACAGGATTGTAGGATTACAGATATTAATTTCCTCTCCAAAATGGCTTCCTAAAGAGATAGGCTATTGACCAGCATAGACAACATGTTTCTGAACTTCTGTGCATAATAATGAGTTGCAGAATCTCAGTAAAACTGAACACAGGTCCTAGGGATGCTTAATTCTACATCACAATTTAGAGACAAGTGGAAAAGAAGCAAATTGAATTATATAGTAGCTTTCTAACTTTTACGATAAGCCATCTCTAATGTGATAACTACAATTATTATTCTGACAATATAAAAAGCTGATATATAGATTAGCAAAGTTTCTGCTCAGTGACTAGACTACGTTAGACTGGACTAGACTAGAACAGATCTTACTGGGGAAATAATGACTCCTCTTTAGCATGCTATATTTTTTTCTTCAAGGAATATTGGGTGTTTCACTATATGTTAACCATTAGTTGAGTTTGTATGACATGTTTGTGTTGAGTTAGGAAAACTTAATAGCAAAGAAGAATCACAGGTTGTTAGTTGTGTTGTTTTAGCCACAATCTTATCTGTGCCTTGGTTTGGATGATATAGTAAATATAGTAAGTCAGACTAAGATATGACTTAATTGGCAAATACTATCTGCAGCGCTGTCTACAGCAAAATGTGATGACACCAAAAAGACATGTCCATAGTGACAAAGTATGAAAATACCACCACTACATATTTGCATCCCAAGCTCCAATTAAATTAAATAAATCATAATAATTGCATAATGATGTCATCACAGGTACTTCATCATCTGTCCTTCTTGTCTCTCCCAAGGGTGCCTGGGACAATTTGTGTGATTTCATAAGAAGTTCCATCCTTTGATGTCAACCTATAGCTCCATTCTAGTTAGGAAGCTAATGAACCAGACTGCTGAAGCTACTAAGTGTATTCTGTTTGGTGAAGGGCAATAAATTACAAGTCCTAAGCCATGAAGCCTAAATCTTGTGTCATTTATTTTGGCAGTTGCTGCCAGAAAGTAGTTTGTAATGCATTCTTGCTCATGGGAAGTGATTAAATTTGTCATCTGTCTTGTATTAGCTACACTGTGCCTTCATTTGATGATTAGCTGCGCGTTATTTTCTGGGTAATATGGAAGAAGAATCCTCATGTCACAAAGATGTTGCCACATTTCTTGTTCTGCAAAAATTGAAAATATTTCTGAAGCCCAAGAGAGGCAAACAGCCTTAATTCTATAAACATGAATTTACTGTAAGTTCTGCCTGAATGGAGTAAGATTGCAATACTCTAGGTAGATGTTCTTAAATAGGCTATCAATAATGTAAATTGTTTATACAGTCTTCTAAAAAGTAAATACTTAGATCTACCACTAGGTGGTACTCAAAGTAGAGTGTTCCAAACAATAATTATCAACTGGAGGGAACTATATTTTTATACTAACCATGTGCTGGTCTGAAATTCCAGCTACAAACAATTAATAATTTATCGTTTTGTTTTATCCAGTTTATTCCATGTGTGCTGCTTCAGCTTATTCCTAGTTTCTAACCCCAATGTGCTTCTACATGAAGCTTTTATTACCAAACTGCCTCAGTTCATGGAAGATCCAGATGATGTTTCTTGTCCACTTCCTTCAACTTTTTTTTTTTTTTTACCCAATAAATTCCATTAAGGATGAAAAAATGCACTGTGCTGAAAACTACAGGAATTCCATCAGGCTGTACTCTCCTTCAAGGTGAAGTGAGAACAAAAATGCCCGAAATGTTTCAGTTTTGAAGCAGAGCCTCAAACAGATCAATGCCCCTCATTGTAGGCCAGGAGTAGGCAATCTTGACTCTTTTATGACTCGTGGACTTCAATTCCCAGAATTCCTGAGCCAGCCATGCTGAGGGGAAAGGGAGAGGTTTCCAAGCTGAGCTATGCTGGCTCAGGAATTCTGGGAGTTGAAGTCCACGAGTCATAAAAGAGCCAAGGTTGCCTACCCCTGTTGTAGGTTATGCTGACTTGCTCAGCTGCTCACAACTTTGGACCTGAATTGTCTCCCTGTAACTTTTTTTTTTTTTGAGAATGTGTGCTTCTTTTTGTTTCATTGGTAATGGAATTTAGCCATCATGCTTCTCCTTAAACTACTTCATCTTCCTTTGACTTTGGTATTTGAAGATTAGACTGGACTTGACTTGAGGAAATACTGTAGCTTTTTAAATGTAAGTTTATTTACATTCGACAATTTACTGAATGGGGTCCCACAATTCAACCCTGAACTACGAATATTCTCTTTGTTTTACTATGTCTCATGAAATTAAGAATATTTTGTAAATACTGTTTTTTTTTT